AGGTACTAACTTATCCAGTGGAGTAACTTCCCTTTTACTCTCGCCTCCTTCTCCAGCTTGTGCATGAGTCTTTTATGTGGTACTGTGTCAAATGCTTTCTGACAATCCAAAATTGAGTGTGTGTGTTTGCAGAAGGGTGTGGGAGTGTGTGTTTGGAAAGGGTGAAGAAATGTGGGATTGTTATTGAAGTCAGTGGAGGTGGAGAAGTGTGTAATTAAGTAAGTGTACTTACAGGATGAGAGCTACGCTCGTGGTGTCCCGTCTACCCAGCACTCTTTGTCATATAATGCTTTGAAACTACTGTCGGTTTTGGCCTCCACCACCTTCTCACCTAACTTGTTCCAATTGTCTTCCACTCTGTTCGCGAAAGTGAATTTTCTCATGTTTCTTCGGCATCTTTGTTTAGTTAGTTTGAATCTATGACCTCTTGTTCTTGAAGTTCCAGGTTTCAGGAAATCTTCCCAATCAATTTTATCAATTTCTGTTACTATTTTGTACGTAGTGATCATATCACCTCTTTTTCTTCTATCTTCTAGTTTTGGCATATTTAATGCCTCTAACCTCTCCTCGTAGCTCTTGCCCTTCAGTTCTGGGAGCCACTTAGTAGCATGTCTTTGCACCTTTTCCAGTTTGTTGATGTGCTTCTTAAGATATGGGCACCATACAACTGCTGCATATTCTATCATTGGCCTAACAAAAGTTGTGAACAATTTCTTTAATATTTTGCCTTCCATGTATTTAAAAGCAATTCTGAAGTTAGAAAGCATAGTATAGGCTCCTCGCACAATGTGGTCCTCAGGTGATAGTTTTCTATCTAGAACCCCCCTGGATCTCTTTTCTTTATCAGAATTCTTTTAAGATATCTCACATAATTTATAGGTTGTGTGGGGGTCTATGTTCTCATATTCCACATTCCATAACATGGCATTCATTCACATTAAATTCCATTTGCGTAAATATCTAATTATTATTATAGTATCCATTGTATTAGATTATATACATTATTATCTATATTATTGTGTGTAATTATCTAAGTGTAGTTACAGGACGAGAGCTATGCTTGTGGTATCTCATCTTCCCAGCACTCTTCGTCATGTAACGCATTAAAACTACTGACGGTTTTGGCCTCCACCACCACCTCATTTAACTTTTTCCAACCGTCTGCCACTCTATTTGCAAAAGAAAACTTTCAAATATTTTTTTGGCACCTTTGTTTCCTTAGCTTCAATCTGTATCTTCTTGTTCTTTAAGTGAACAGCCTGTCGCACTTCATTCCTGTTTCCACAAAGAAGACAGTTGATGTCGCTTCCTTCCTTTGGCTTTGTCAGACGTATAGGTGCTTGGAGGTGAACCTCTTGCGACGGTGTCCCCCATTGTCAGTGGCGCTCTTCACGACTGCGAGGCTCTCGCTGTGGACGTTTTTTGGCAGGACTGGTCGGGGTGGGGGCTCCTGTACCTCTTTCCCCTGCTCCAGCTGTTGCTCTGGGTTCTGGCTTGGTGGGAATCCTATTGGGGAAGAGTTCTCCTTGCTCCATAGTGGCCGGCCCAGCCTTCGTTTCAGGTGCTGCTTGCTCGGTGTCTGAACCCACTCATTTTTCCGCGTCTCCGCTTCTTTCAACAGGTCGGGCTGGTAAGGTACCTCGCTGATTCACCTTGCTCCTCCGCTTTATGCGCCTGTCATTTCTGATGTGTGTATCGCCATTTGTGTGATGATCAGGTAGTTTCTATGATGGTAACCCACCTGTGATCTTCGTCTCGGCGACAGTATGCGGTTGTTGATGGTCTCTCCACCATTTTCTTTCTCTTCGATGGGTTTTGTCTGTGTCGTACCGGGTTGTTTTGTCCTGTCTCTTGTGGCTTTTTCTGGATCAGCATCTCATGCCGAATACTGTCGCTTCTTATCGTGTGCCGTTGGCAGAGCCGGTGCAACTTGCATTCAAGGTGGTGCAACTTGCACTTCTGCTCTGTTTCGCAACCTTTCTCGTGTATTCTTTCACCTCCGGCCCCCCTCATGCGCTGCTTGGGCCTTATTGGTCCTTGGATTTGGTTCCTTCTTTTCTTCTCAGTTTGTGGCAGCCCCTTCGGTTTGTGTTTGTTTATGGAAGTTGTTGTTTTTGTTGCCCTTGGCCTCTGGGGGCAGTTGGGGGGCTTTTTACACTTCTCCAGCATCAGGGATTTTGTTACTTTGGTCCTGGTAGTTGTTTTGTCTGTTGGCAGCCGTCTCCTTTTCTGGTGAAGATTGTGGTGGCTGGCTTCCAAAGGGGTCTGTTGATTGTGGATGTTTGGTAGGCTCAGCTGGGGGCGCATCACTGTCTGTAGGCTACTGGTTTTGTGTCAGTGGGCAATGTCCAGAGGGCAGTGTCGGAGGACACTGCGGACAGCCTGAGAAACGCGAGCCCGGGAACAGGGAACCAGGGCTCGTGTTTCTCAGATTGTCTGCAGGCTGGTTAAACATAAGGAAAAAGTCAAACCAGCAAAGTACACTGCTGGTCCAATCTACTGGAAGAGGCAGAGCCTTACGTTTAACCAGCCTGCGGTCTACTCTCGCGCCTGTGATGTTTAGCCATCTGCCACTCTTTCGACTTTCTTTGGCTATGTGTCTTGGGACGATATTCGGGCACGGGTGTTTTGGAGGTCGAACAGGGTTGTGGCCATCAAGGTATCACGTCCTGGTTCTTCTACAGCCTTTTGTGGCTTCAGGGCGCCTAACAAGGCCTTCTGTCTCCACTTTGCTTTGAGACCTGTAGTGCTGCTGCCTTCCTGGTTGGTCCCTGTTTGCCTTCTTTGTGGCAAGGCAACTGTAGTCAGCTTCATTGGAGCCAACGGGGCTCCTCACAGAAAACCAGCATTGAATATGATGAAACGGCAGTTTTTGGGTAAGCCCCAGAGGCTTCCCGACACCCCCCCATCCCCCTCCCATAGGTCGGCAGCTTTCATCATTGTAGAACTCAATAGGTGGGTTGTTGGCTCCCCCTTCCCGGGAGGGGGTGGTAGCAATGAACGTGGGGCTAGTTGGATGACGCGTTGCTTGTTTGTTTTCCTTCTGCGGGAGTTCTTTTGCTATTTTAAGGATGTAGCTCGCAATTTTCAACCAGACAGCGGTCTGTTTTGATTTGCCTGCCTTTCTGGATGCCTTCCCTGATAGATGGCAAAATACAAGATACTTTTAATGTAAAGTGCTCATAGTCCATTGCTCTATGTGCCTCTCTGAGGGGGCCAGGTTCTAGCTCTGGTTCCCAGTAGGCAATAAGAACTCTGCAACTGATGACTCCAACTAATATAGTACTACAGTATATCAGTAGGATAGCTTCAGGGAGCCTCTGGGGCTCACCCAGAAACTGTTGTTTCATTGCATTCAATGCTGGGTTTTAGGTCCAGATGAATGCAGTCAACCCAACCATCTCTTTCGTGTAAAATCTTTGTGGCTCTATCACAGAAATTAAGTAGATTCATTAAGCAGGATCTTCCAGATTGAGAATCATACTGTGTCTGTTATTATATAATTTTTCTCCAGGTGTTCAACCCATTTGGTTTTAATTATTTTTCCAATATTTTGACTACTGCACTTGTCAGTGATACAGGTCTATAATTAATCCTAGCACTGCGCACCTTTTAAAATAATATGCCCGTTGTGTTCATCAAAAAAAATTCTGAAAAAATAATTTTTTCTTTTGAGTGTTAATCAGCACCCAGGAGGCACAAAAATCCAAGAGGGTTTCTGCTGCCACTTTTGTAGATTGAAAGTATGTTAGCCGTTTCCATATATTTGCAGGGATAAGCTTAATGCCTATCCTCTTTTGAAGCTGAACACTTTTGTAGCTTGGCTTCTGGATTTTCAGGTTTTGGTTCTCCGAGCAATTCTTGTGTGGGGGTGCGTCCAATGTTCTTTGCGGATAGGGTATCTTACTTCCATCCCATTTTCACCAAATGGACTGTCGATGATGCATCCTTCTGTTGGCTCTGTGAGATGTTTGGTCATCCTAAACCTCTTCATGTTAGCATGTAACCAGCACCATCCCTCCTACATGGCTCCATTCCCTGATCGTGAGGCACTTACAGTGAATGGTTTTCGACTGGACTGGTTGAGGTGGCGGTGCATTTGCCTTATCCCCCGGTTCAGTTGTTGCTCCGTGTACTGTCCAGTCTGGAGTCGTACTTGGAGAGGATGATCCTTCTGGCTCCTTGGTGGTCAGCCCATTCTTGGTTTTTGATGCTTCTGGCCCAGTGTCCAAACCCAGGTGTTTTCCATGGCCCTGCCTCTTCCAGTAGATTGGACCAGCAGTATACTTTGCTGGTTTGACTTTTTCCTTCACATCTGGAGTTTTGACATGTGTCTATCACCATTTGTATGGTGAGCAGGTGGCTGGTTTGTTGGTGTCCCACCTGCGTCTTTCCTCACGGCGACAGTATGAGGTTGCCTGGTGCTCATTTCTCCACTACTTGTCACTTTGTTTTCTTTCTTCAGTTTTGGTCAGATCTGGCCTGTAATTTTTGCCTAGGTTTATTTCTCAACGAGCATCTCATGCCTAATACAGTACAATACTGTTGTCTTTTATTGTTCAGTGTTGACAGAGCAACAGTTGCTTACATTCGGTGTTGACACGTCGGTGCCATTTCGTAAGTTATCTTGTGCGGTTTTTCACCTCCAGCCTGATCATGCTCCTGAGCCATACAGGTCTCTTGACCGTGTTTTAGTTTTTTCTTCTCACGTCAGTTACGGTTTTCTCTTTTGGCTCGCGATGTCTCCTTGGTGGAACTTCTGAGAGTTTTAGTGATGAATTAAGCAAATACATTTACAGAAAGTTAATTCCAGTTTAAAAATCATATAAATTACAACTTTAGATTTGGATTACACAGTGAAGTAGAAGAAAGTGGAAAGATTGAAAGTTTTTAAAATGTGCATTTTGTGCTATATTTGGTATTTGGTGTCAGAGGGAATGTATTATGATTAAATAAATGGATAGAAATGTCTAGGTTTAATGCTATATATTTTCCAACAGTTGGTAACATTCCATATGAAGCGACTGAAGAGAAACTTCGAGACATATTCAGCCAGGTTGGTCCAGTGCTGTCATTCAAGTAAGTTTGCAAATACTTGTTAATTAGTCAAAGAGTTTATAAATTTAGTTGTTACTGTTATTGAATTTACTTAATTTATAGGTACAGTATTTGGTTGTACAGTAAAGTATTTACTGTATTTGTATGATTTATGTAAGTTTTCCTAATATTATTTTAACATGTTTGTAGTACAAAATAGTTTGATTTTGGATTTAATTTAAATTATACAGTCACATGTTAGTGTAAATTATGAGTGTGTGTTGTTACCTTGGTTATTCAATACTGTATATACAGTACATTGATGTGTTCATGTGGGAGATCAAAGTATATAGTGCAGAGGCTTAATATTTGTAATTAATGTGTCAAACTTGATGTTTGCAGATGAGACTTGCCTTTTTGACAAATTAATGTAGACTAGTTAGAAATTGTATTAACCACTGCACTGCTCTGGCACCAAATATGGCAAACCCCTGGTGCACAGAAAATAAATTGTTCGCAAAATTTTTTTGCACTTCTAATAATGTTAAATACCCTTCCCTGATCACATATGATTTCCTAATACAATTGACTTGTGGTTTATGCAAGTACTGTATATCGTACATTCGAAGCTCGCTCGAAGGACAGGACAATATGGATTTAGAACGGGAAGATTCTGCCTGTCACAGTTACTCAACCACTATGACAAAATCACAGAAGCTTTAGAAGAAGAGCAAAATGCAGATGTTGTATTCACAGACTTTGCAAAGGCATTCGACTAATGTAACCATGGAGTGATAGCACACAAAATGAGGTCAATGGGAATAACTGGTAAAGTAGGATGCTGGATACTAAATTTCCTGTCGAACAGAACACAAAGAATAATAACAGTCAATCAAATAAAATTGAGTCCAAGCGCAGTTAAAAGCTCTGTACCTCAAGGTACAGTCCTTGCACCACTGCTGTTCTTTATTCTCATATCAGATATAGACAAGAATACAAGTCACAGCTTCGTGTCATTCTTTGCAGATGACACAAATATCAGCATGAAAATTACCTCTGCTGAAGACATTGAAAAATTACAAGCAGATATCAACAGTCTTTGATTGGGCAGTAGAAAATAACATGATGTTTAACAGTGATAAATTCCAGGTATTCAGGTACGGCAAAAATGAGGATCTGAAACATAACACAGGTACAAAACTCAATCGAATCTGCCCATAGTAGGAAAACAGCATGTCAAGGATTTGGGAATAATGATGTCCGACGATCTAACGTTTAGGGAGCATAACCAAGCAAATATTGCGTCAGCCAGAAAAATGATAGGATGGATTACGAGAACTTTCAAATCAAGGACTTCCATCACAATGGTTGTACAGTACTCTTCAAGTCACTTGTGTTGTCCTGTCTTGAGTACTGCTTAATACTCACTTTCCCCATCAGAGCAGGAGAGATTGCTGAAATAGAGGGAATACAGAGAATATATTCAGCACGCATAGACGCGATAAAGCACCTAAATTATTGGGATCGTTTCAAAGCTCTCCAAATGTACTCACTAGAAAGGAGACGAGAGAGATACCAAATAATATACAGTACACACATGGAAAATACTGGAGGGCCAGGTCCCTAATCTACACAGTAAAATAACAATGTACTGGAGTGAACGATATGGAAGAAAATGCAGAATAGAACCAATGAAGAGCAGAGGTGCCATCTTGAGAGGTTATCTTGAGATGATTTCGGGGCTTTTTAGTGTCCCCGCGGCCCGGTCCTCGACCAGGCCTCCACCCCCAGGAAGCAGCCCGTGACAGCTGACTAACACCCAGGTACCTATTTTACTGCTAGGTAACAGGGGCATAGGGTGAAAGAAACTCTGCCCAATGTTTCTCGCCGGCGCCTGGGATCGAACCCAGGACCACAGGATCACAAGTCCAGCGTGCTGTCCGCTCGGCCGACCGGCTCCCTCTGATTGTGCCATATCTTGAGGTTATCTTGAGATGATTTCGGGGCTTTTTTAGTGTCCCCGCGGCCCGGTCCTCGACCAGGCCTCCACCCCCAGGAAGCAGCCCGTGACAGCTGACTAACACCCAGGTACCTAATTTACTGCTAGGTAACTGGGGCATAGGGTGAAAGAAACTCTGCCCATTGTTTCTCGCCGGTGCCTGGGATCGAACCCAGGACCACAGGATCACAAGTCCCGCGTGCTGTCCGCTCGGCCTACCGGCCGTAGGCACAATCAGAGAACACTATAAACATCAGAGGTCTGTGGTTGTTCAACGTCCTCCCAGAGACTCTAAGAAATATTGCAGGAGCCGCCGTGGACATCCTTAGGAGGGAACTAGACTGTTTTCTAAAAGAAGTTCCGGACCAACTGGGCTGTAGTGGGCATGTGGGCCTGCGGGCTGCTCCAAGCAACAGCCTGGTGGACCAAACTCTCACAAGTCAAGCCTGGCCTCGGGCGGGGCTTGGGGAGTAGAAGAACTCCCAGAACCCCATCAACCAGGTATCAAGCAGGTGCTGTCTGGGGAGGCAGGTGGTGTCAGTGGTGAAAGGTGTTGTCAGGGGAGGCAGGTGGTGTCAGTGGTGGAAGGTGTTGTCAGGGGAGGCAGGTGGTGTCAGTGGTGGAAGGTGTTGTCAGGGGAGGCAGGTGGTGTCAGTGGTGGAAGGTGTTGTCAGGGGAGGCAGGTGGTGTCAGTGGTGGAAGGTGTTGTCAGGGGAGGCAGGTGGTGTCAGTGGTGGAAGGTGCTGTCTGGGGAGGCAGGTGGTGTCAGTGGTGAAAGGTGTTGTCAGGGGAGGCAGGTGGTGTCAGTGGTGGAAGGTGTTGTCAGGGGAGGCAGGTGGTGTCAGTGGTGGAAGGTGTTGTCAGGGAAGGCAGGTGGTGTCAGTGGTGGAAGGTGTTGTCAGGGGAGGCAGGTGGTGTCAGTGGTGGAAGGTGTTGTCAGGGAAGGCAGGTGGTGTCAGTGGTGGAAGGTGTTGTCAGGGGAGGCAGGTGGTGTCAGTGGTGGAAGGTGTTGTCTGGGGAGGCAGGTGTTGTCTGGGCAGGCAGGTGGTGTCAGTGGTAGAAGGTGTTGTCAGGGGAGGCAGGTGGTGTCAGTGGTGGATGGTGTTGTCAGGGGAGGCAGGTGGTGTCAGTGGTGGAAGGTGTTGTCAGGGGAGGCAGGTGGTGTCAGTGGTGGAAGGTGTTGTCAGGGGAGGCAGGTGGTGTCAGTGGTGGAAGGTGTTGTCTGGGGAGGCAGGTGTTGTCTGGGCAGGCAGGTGGTGTCAGTGGTAGAAGGTGTTGTCAGGGGAGGCAGGTGGTGTCAGTGGTGGATGGTGTTGTCAGGGGAGGCAGGTGGTGTCAGTGGTGGAAGGTGTTGTCAGGGGAGGCAGGTGGTGTCAGTGGTGGAAGGTGTTGTCAGGGGAGGCAGGTGGTGTCAGTGGTGGAAGGTGTTGTCAGGGGAGGCAGGTGGTGTCAGTGGTGGAAGGTGTTGTCAGGGGAGGCAGGTGGTGTCAGTGGTGGAAGGTGTTGTCAGGGGAGGCAGGTGGTGTCAGTGGTGGAAGGTGTTGTCAGGGGAGGCAGGTGGTGTCAGTGGTGGAAGGTGTTGTCAGGGGATGCAGGTGGTGTCAGTGGTAGAAGGTGTTGTCAGGGAAGGCAGGTGGTGTCAGTGTAGAGCTATGGCCCGAGTTATCATCTGATTTGGGTGTTCTTTGTAGGTTGTTCTATTCTTATGTGAATTGCAATTCACATAAGAATAGAATAACCTACAAGGAACACCCAAATCACAGAACTATTTACTCTACTCACCAGGAGAGTAAAGACAATACCAGAACATAACGATGCCAACACAGAAGACACTGTTCAACATAACAGGCCAATTACACCTGATTAATCTTTGTATGTTGATAGGAGCTGCCTCGTATGGGCCAATAGGCCTTCTGCAGTTACCTTTATTCTTATGTGCTTCATCCCCCATTTATCCCTTATGTATCCCCCATGTTTTTACCTTTATTGTCTTATCACCTGACTCAGTGCGGGTATAAATCAACCAGTTCTGTAAATTCTTTTCACTTGAAAATGAACCATGGTGGTTCGAAACGTTGTGCAAATTGTATAAATAAGTGTAATACATTCTATAGTAATTCACTTTTTTTTCACCTTGAAATAATGAAAATGAGTTTTGGAGAACTCCCTCTTTCAGCTAAGCCCTGATGCTAGGAAAATAGTTAGAGGGATAGAAGCCCTAAATCAGAAGATAGTAAATACAGAATATGCGGTCATATTCAATGAGACACACATACATACATATATATACATACATATATATATATATATATATATATATATATATATATATATATGTATGTATATATATATATATATATATATATATATATATATATATATATATATATATATATATATATATTTATTTATTTATTTATTTATTTATTTATTTTGGTGTATACTGGCAGCAGGTTTTCTTTTAAACATGTCTCATTGAATATGGCCGCATATTCTGTATTTACTATCTTCTGATTTAGGGCTTCTATCCCTCTAACTATTTTCCTAGCATCAGGGCTTAGCTGAAAGAGGAGTTCTCCAAAACTCATTTTCATTATTTCAAGGTGAAAAAAAAGTGAATTACTATAGAATGTATTACACTTATTTATACAATTTGCACAGTGTTTCGAACCTCCATGATTTATTCTCAAATGAAAAGAAATTACAAAACTCGTTTTATACCCGTACGGGGTCAGATGATAAGACAAGTACAATAAAGGTAAATCAAGGGGATACATAGGGGATAAATGGGGGACGAAGCACATAAGAACATAAGAATAAAGGTAACTGCAGAAGGCCAATAGGCCTTCTGCAGTTACCTTTATTCTTATGTTCTTATGTTCTTGTACCTTTATTCTTATGTTCACTGTGCATGGTTGATTTGTAATATAATTTTATTGGAAGTGTTATGGTTTCTGTTCTAGGTTCCCTGGTACAATGGTACGATGGTACAATCCTGAACCTATAACAGAAACCACTGGCAAAATTTCAGATTTTGCCAGTGACTTGGAAACAGATTTCTGGCAAAATCCAGAACAGGAAAGTGAGGTCAGAGGTGACCGTCATGCACATCAGTCGAGAACTGTGATGGTGAGCCACCGGCTCACTCAAGCCGGCTACTCCTTTCCTATTGGGAGGGGGTGGCACTAACTAGTGGGTGTGCAAGTTGGATCACATGTTGCTTGTTGGTTTGAATTTGGGGGGGGGGGGGGGGGGGGGGGGGGGGAGGGAGTTATTTTGCTATGTTCGGATGTAGATATAAATGTTCACGCGCTTATGGTCTGTTTTGTTTTGCCTATCTTTCTGGGTGCCATCCCTGGTTGATGGCAAGTATAACATACTTTAAATATAAAGTGCTCATAGGCCATTGCTCCCTGTGTCTTTCTGAGGGGACCAGGTTCTGGCTCATGGTTCCCGGTAGGCATAAAGAACTCCTGTAACTGATGACCCCAGACTAATATCACTTGTCAGTTTGGACAGCTTCAGGGAGCCAACAGGGCTCCCCCACAGAAAAGGACATTTAATTTGACTTAGAGCTCTATTTTTCTTGAGGCTGATGCTTTCCCACACTATAAAAGTAGGTACTGTGATAATACTATGTATGTACTGTATGTATGAAATATGTTTGTGTTCTCAATGTAATGAGTCATTGAAATTAAATTAATTAAGAATTAGAATTAAAATACCATAAATGACTTTGCTAAATTTTAAATTGTCTAATCTTTCAGGCTTATGTATGATCGTGAATCTGGTAAACCAAAAGGCTATGGATTTTGTGAGTACAAAGACCAAGAAACTGCTCTCTCTGCCATGCGTAATCTTAATGGATTTGAAATTGGGGGACGACCCTTACGAGTTGACAATGCATGTACAGAAAAGTCAAGGATGGAGATGCAAAGTGAGTTTTAATTTATGATATACTTTTAATTGTTAGAACAACTTGTTGCAGTCTCCGTGGTGTAGTGGTAAGACACTCGCCTGGCGTTCCGCGAGCGCTATGTCATGGGTTCGTATCCTGGCCGGGGAGGATTTACTGGGCGCAATTCCTTAACTGTAGCCTCTGTTTAACGCAACAGTAAAATGTGTACTTGGATGAAAAAACGATTCTTCGCGGCAGGGGATCGTATTCCAGGGACCATAGGATTAAGGACTTGCCCGAAACGCTACGCGTACTAGTGGCTGTACAAGAATGTAACAACTCTTGTATATATCTCAAAAAAAAAAAAAAAAAAAAAACAAGGTTGAGATGCTACATTTTTTGTATTTTTGGTTGCTATATGTTTAAGACCTGAATGTCTTAAATAGCAGTATGTTAATTAGTGCAATATTATTGTATAATATAAAAAGTGTAGAACGAAAAGTAAATTTTGCAGCAGCTTTAAACCTGACTCCCCAAATACGGTCCTTTACTGAGCTTAAGGATGGTGAATTATACTCTTGAATCCTATTTTTCAGATTTATTAGGCTCGGTTCACTACATAGTATCTGAAATAATACAAAGCAAAGTATCAAAATTGGGAATTACAAATTAACATCATAATGAACCTTACATTAAGGACAAATTATTATAATCTAATTATGATATTTATGAATATCACATTCTTCCCTCCTCTAGATTATTTTCTAATAGTAAACATGGCAGATAATTTGAATAAATACTTCTCATCAGCACTCTGTTTACTACACTCCATGATGTTAATCTCAGCTATAACAGCCAGGAGACTTTGGTACCCAGGCAGACTGTGTGGGTCTCCCTGGAGAAGGTGGGTAAATAGTTAATGGCTACCCCCATATGGCAAGTGACAATCTTAAGGTGTAGTCCATCATTCTTGTCCCTATGTCATGGACTGGAGAGGGTTGATTCTGGTAATCAGGCCAAAATATCTTGTTGTTTCATTGGAGCTGTCAAGTCTCATTGAACATGGAGCTAAATCATTGATAGATACTGTAGACTGGCATCCATTTAAATACCTAATGTTTGCATAAATTGGATCTACATTGATCAGTGAGGTCAACCTGGTCAACTAGAGGGTCAGTCTTAGTAGACTGAACAAAACATCGAAGTAGCACTGGACCAGGGGTTGTATTAGTTAGAAATTTCAGTGAGAGTTGATGCAGGGAGTGTTGAACAGCAGAATGCTTTCTCAGTCTCTCAGTGCTCTCTCTGTTAGCATATTAGGAGGCACATTTTCTTTACCAAGGTGATACTATATGGTATAGCTGAAGGATTCCAGCTCCAACATCCATTCCTGTATTTCATTATTTTTTAGTTTAGTTTGTCTTCTGTTAACCAGCATAAATACTTCAGTAATCAGCACAAAATGATGCCTGGCTAGGAAATGGCTTCATTTATGCACTGCCTCTATAATGGCAGTAGCCTCTTTCTCTACCACTGGATAATGAAGTTTGCTACCATGCACTGTCCTGGACACCCACTGTGGTACATGATTGCTGAAATGGAAACTTCTAAGGCATTGTACTCCACCAAAAATGGCAGGTCTTCATAGAAGAATTTTAGAGTTGCATTCACAAATCGATTTTTAAGACTTGAAATGCTGTTAAGACTGCTACGACCAATGGGAATGTCAATGACGTGGACTAGGTGCAGCTTCAGGTTCCCTCCCTTTTGGCGGACCTGGTAACTGAGGGCTTACGCACCTGTGGACATTTTGCTTCAGTCCTCCGTTTCTTTTCCCTTCTCAAGCTGTCGGCTTGAGGAGAATGTGGAGACGCTGGGTGCCGATCTTGGGTCTGGTGCACTGGTCTCGGCGGTGCAAGCATCGGCTGACTTGTTGAAGCTGTTTTGCCGATCCTGCTGGAGGCGGTGTCTCTGTTCTTTGCTTCTCGTCTTGTGTGTTGTCAGGCAGTTCTTGCTCATTCCTTGGAATTAGCTTGGGCCCTGGCAATTAGGTTTTCTATGCCCTTTCTGGGGGGAACCCCTTCGGCTTCCCAGAGCTTACTAGGCTGATATGCTAATGTCAGACTTTGGCCTCAGTCATGTGTATGGAGTTCTGTGGGCCTACCGGGGACCACGAGCTAGAACCTGGCCCCCCCTCAGAGAGGCATGGGGGAGCAATGGCCTATAGAAACCCCTGTGTGGTTGAAAGCATTCTATGTCTGCCATCGACCGGGTCAGGCACCCAGAAAGGTAAGCATTCAAAAACAAACCCCTATTCTGGTGAAATTATTTTTACCAAAAGCCGAACAAGTAGATAGAACTCCCCTAAAAGAAACAAGCAAACGATCATGACGTCACATGTCGCCGCGCTGTAGTCTGTGCAGCTCCCCCCCTCCCCTGTGAGGGGAAAGGGGGAGCCCCAGACCCTTCACGCCGACTATCCACCTGTTAGTTCTAAGGCTGATGCTAAAGGCTGAGGTCGTGTGCTCTGACTCCGGTGGTTGTTTCAGCACTGTACCTAGTGTGTGGTGACTGTCTTCTAGGTGGTGCGTAAGCCGGGAGTGTTTCTTCAGTACTCGGGCTGCATGCGCCTAAGGTTCCCTTCCCTAGGTGCCCTATAAGTACTGCCCTTGGAGGTTGGGGCCACCTTCCACAAGTTCCTTAGGTTCTGCCTCTGCTAGGCCGTTTCCTGCTTGGTTTTCAGCCGCTTTTTGTATGCTAGGGTGTTCTGTCTCCCTTGTTCGCCTTAGGGTGAGGGGCAGTTTTGCGCTGGTAGGAGCATGGGTACTGCGTAGCTTGTTTTCACCAATCCTAGCGGCCGGCTCTGTTCCGCCTGGGTACGTGGTCCTCGTGCGGGGTTTTCTTTTTGTTTGTCTGCCTGGTGGGGAGGTCTGCCTTGGTTCTTTCCCCCTGTGTACTGAGTGTTCTTCCGGTGGCTCCCCCTGCTAGGTCCCCATGAGTGTACACGTACCGGTGTTCAGTTCTTAGAAAGTTGTTTGGTACTTGTGGGCGCCGGTTAGCAGTACCCTGCCTGGGATTACCTGGGCGTAAGTCCCTGCAGGTAAATGCTCAGGACCCTGGGAAACTCCGAGAGGGCGCATGGGTCCGATGGATGTGGCCGTGGAGTCCCCCTCACTTTGTGCGAGTTCGAGGGTGGCTCTGTACCCTTGTCTTAGGGTGACTCTCATTGTTTTGCCTCTGTCTGCTGACTGTGGGGTCGGTGGCACCTTCGGCCCGGAGCCCTGAAAGTTTTGTTGCTTGTTTGTGGCTCGATTACCCAGTCTTATGCTGACAATGCGGGTGCAGGCAGCATGGGCGTTGGAAATTAGGTTTCAGTGGTGCAACGCGTTAGGTCCTTTGCTCCCTGGGAGCCCCGGGGCCTCCCCGTTTTAGTTGGTGTGATGGGGCTTGGGGGTGTTGGACGCTTCGATTTTGTTCCTTCCAAGCCCCTTGTCTTTCCCTGTTATGGTATCCCTTCCCCCCCTTCCTCCCTGCATCCGGATCCTTGCCGTTTGTGGGTTCGGAGTTGGGGCGGGGCTTCGCTGGTCTTGAGACTCGGGCGGTCTCAGGGAATTTCCCCTTCTGGGGTAACGAGGGAGGCATTCGAGCCTGTTCCTCCAGCCGTGTTGTATGAGTCTGCCAGTGGATCCTTTCCTTAGTACTTGTCCGGTTGCCCTGGCTTATTTCTTGAAACTGGGGCTTTGGGGGAACGGCTCAGTCCCAGGACCTGCCTTGTGGTTTCCCGGGGCTGGGGAGGGGCTGACGTTTGGACCCCTCCTGGGTTTTTCTACCCTTTGGGTGGGGCTTGCGGTTACGAGGAGTGGGGGGGTTTTTCTTCCCCCCCTCTCCGTACATGTTTTGGGAGTCGAGCCCTCCCCAGGATTGGTTCCTTGTCCCTTGGATCCGTCTGGTCCGTCCTTCGATGGGTACGTTTCTTCACCCTTCTTCTTGGGACGGGCCTTCAGTCATGTTCCCCGCCTCTCGGGGATCTGCATGACTTTTGGTCTCGGGTGTGACTTTGCCTTCCATGCCTTCATGCTTCACGTTTGCTTCTTTATGTTCTAGAATGATCGGGAAAGTTTTGTTTCTTCCAGTATTCTTGGAACGTCTGTCGTCTTCCGGTCCTTTCTGGGGCTTGTTGGCCCTTCTCCAAGCTTCTTGTTTTTCGGTCCTGTTTCATTCTTTTGTGTTTGTCTCTTTTCTCCGTGCATTGTCCTGCACGGCACAAGGTTGCCAGATTAGGCTCCTTGTAGCCTGGTTGGGCTCTTTGTAGCCCAAATGGGTAGCTGTGCTATGTTTCTTTTCGCTCCTTCCTGCTCTTTTCGACTACGGTTGGCGGCTGTCCTGTGTACTCTCATATGGGATTCGGTCGTTGACAACACTATTTTGTCTGTTTTCTAGTCACATTCGTGTTTTTTTCTTCAGCTCGCGACTTCTGGCAACCCACATCTGGCATCCCTGTTGCGCATGCGCTTTGTTTGTTTTGATATGGGCTGTGTACACGTGAGCTGGGGTTTTGCACCCCTTTTCTCTCAAGTGCTTCACCTCTCACTCTTCTCCATTCTCCAGTCCGTGCCTAGTAGCTCCTGGGGGTGTTCTGGATTGCTGCTATGGGGCTGATGTGGGGTTTTCCCTGGGTATGGGTGTTGGGCTCCTCCTTTGCCTCTACCCTTTTCTCCTGCATGGGCGGCTCTGCCTTCTTCCACTGGTGGTGTTCCCAGACTCTTCTCGGCTATGTTGTGTTGTGACACGTTCGTGCCTACGTTCTGTAGGTGAGATTATGCGGTCTGGCTTCTGTTTCGGCCAGACACTGGTTAGTGATTCTTGGATACGGATATACGAACATCAGAACACAGGTCCCTGCAGCAGGCTTATTGGGCCCTACGAGTCAGCTCCTGTTTATACCCATCCAGTCTCCTACAGCAGGCCTATTGGGCCATACGAGTCAGCTCCTGTTCATACCCATCCAGTCCCACTCATATGCATGTCCAGCCCATGCT